TGTGGAAGTTTGGATTTTGGGACAGTTCCACAGAGCCACTTTTCGTGCAACAATATCATTGACATTGATTGCAACGTCCATATAGGCTGCACCTCGACATTAGCGGTAGGCAACCTAGTTAGTTGCCGTGTGTTCATGCCACACCCAGACCGGTTGTGGTATGTAGTCAATTTGCTATTGTAGATATTGTAGGCAATGTACTACTAAAACTAATAGCGTCCTTGCAACTAGGTCTGTTTGATGTTCTTTTAAGGAACGTATCGTAGCTTCCTGTTCCTAATAGCGATGGCCTCCACCTAATGGCGTCCTTGCTACCTAAAACCATGAAAACCCCACGAGGACTTGACGAGGCTTTCGTCGTCTCATTCCGACGAGGTGTTGCGTTGGCGCTTCGATGATCGTTGGTTTGCTGCTGACTTGTAGGCTGAAATCATGCACCTCAACGGGGGGGCACCAGAGAGTTTTTTTTCCGCGGGGGAGATGGCTAACCCAATCCAAGCCAATGCTTCGCAAGAGATGGGCTGCTGGGTGTTCATATGTATTCAAAAAGATTTTTGAGAGAGCACTTAGGCCGACTGGTTATTGTGACGGGTGATGGGAGACACGAATGGCTGCCAAACACTGTTTTGCCGTCAAATTTCTTTGGCCAGGATCTCCACATCACGCTGGCGCAGAGTTTCAAGGACTGGTCGTACGCATGGTGCTTGAACGTGAAAACGTCCGTGGTTTTCAGGAACGTTTCTCTTCTCAGCCAAGAAGGCCACTCAGCTGTCAGTTTTGTCCCCGGAGGCTTTTCAGAGGCTCCCCTGAACAGGTTTTTGTCAGTTTCCAGGAAACGCAACGACCCGAGATGAAACACAACAAGACCCTTGAATTCGACATTCGAAAGGACCAAGTTCTAAAAGAAGGCTTTGATCCTGCATACGGTGCAAGGTGGGGCTGCAGTGCTACGTTTCATTGTGACCGATGACATGATGTATCATGACGTGATTTACTTCTGAAATGTTGCATGGGTGAGACTGGTAAAACCATGTAAAACCTCATGTTTCCTCCATTTCGAGACCTGGTGGCACCATCAGAAAAGGCATTATGCAAGTGGGCATGTAGAATCATGTAGAAAATATAAGATCATATAAATATATGATCATCGAAACATTCGTGTGTGCATGTATTCTATTTTCGCGCTTCGCTGTGTGTGGAAGGCCTTTACGTCGTGCCATCACGCGAATGCTGGAGGCCAATGACCTTGAAAAGACAACAGACTGAAATTTACGAGGATTTGCGATTGAGACCAGTTTGGCTACATTGTTTGGTCACACATATAGAGACACCTTGAGGGCATGGTCACGCATGTTTCTCAGATGACCAGCCCAAGGTAATCACTTTGCTTTGCAGCATTCTACGTATGACATGCTTCGCCGTTCTTCCGGTAGTGGCAGATGTTTCTGCCACACTTTGCTTTGCAGCATTCTACGTATGACATGCTTCGCCGTTCTTCCGGTAGTGGCAGATGTTTCTGCCACAGGACACTTTGGCCGAGCAACTGCTAGAACAAAAGGCCGAAGAAGATGAGGTGCTGCAACTCGGTCTCTGGTTTTGCACCTTCATTCTTCGTGCTTGAAGCTATATGAGCCCCCGACAATAATGCATGTACACACACACATATTTTCGTATAATACATATATATATATATATAATCATCGCAAATTAGTAAGGGGCTTCCTCACTCAAGTACATTTGAAACAATCAACACCCTGCAGAATGGACAAGGGTCAACCCTGCACTGATACCTTGTTGGCAAGGAAAAGCTAAGACGTCCAGAGAGTGAGCCAAAGCATTGAAACCCCGACCAACCCAAAATTCATTTGGCATTCGTCAACAAAGTTGTCCACGATTCCACCAGTCATGTGTGTATATTTATCGTATTTAATTATACACATTATTGGTGAAGAATTGTATTAAGAGTTCCAGCTGTGGCCAGATACTTCTACAGCTTTGCATGTTTGAACCGTGTGGGTTTTGCGGTTTGCTGCAAGGATTTGTTTAACAGACATGTTGCCATCGCACCCTGACGGGGTGCACAAACATGTATTTAGTCGTTAGTCGTTGGACGGCGTCGTCGAGCGATCTGCTCACCCATTCACAATGAGAAGTCTTGGTGAACAGTGTCACGAGCCGGTCCAGTGTTGGAAAACCTACATGTATCTCTCCTCCCGAGAGATGCTTTACAGTGTCGGCGTGTCGCCGTGTCGGCGCCGCTTTTGGCGCGGACGCATCCCACCTGTGCAATGGAAGAACTTGGAAAATCATTTTAGGGGAACTCTTAGCCAGTTGTGAGCCATGTATGAATATATATATTAAATATGTGCAGCTGCTTCAACCCATACAGAACGAGAGAGCCTGGCAGTGCAGTTCTTTGACCTTTCGCAATGCCTGAAGGTAAATCTTGAATTACAGCAATGTTTACAGTTACAACCTTGTTGTTTGTTTTCACCTGCAAGTGGAGAACGGGACCTACAAATGCACATGTTTCGACATGCTAGTTCTCCTCTTGGAGTTCTTCCCTTGTCGCCATTCTCCTTTGGGTCAGACAGACGTAATGAAGACTTTGTGGCACTGATTCGAAAGGACTATTCAACTGAATTCATGCATGCGTTTGCCAGATCCAGCAGAGATCACGACATGTGACACTCAGCGTGCCGCAACCTCAGCTGCACGAAATGTTGAATATCAGTCCAGAATGTGAGATACTTTGCGAAACATAGTGGGTTTGGCTGTAGCCTTTTGCCTCGTGGTGTTCTCCTACAGCTTCCTTGTCCGCGGGGTTTCTATGTTTTGGACTGAAAACCGGGGACTTTGCATGACTTTGCTATGCTTTCTCCTTGCCTTTGCCGAGCTGTCGCCGCCGACCCATGTTGCCTTTTGGTTTGGCTTGGAATCCATCGGATTCCATCGGGTTCCAACAGTGAGACAGGATCATGTTGTTGTTGTCGTCGAATCCCAAACAGGCTGTATTGGTGTATTTCGGTAGGGGTCACAGAAATCGCCTGGCATGTTGTCCCTTTGCATCAGGAATCAGGCAGGACGATGTGGGGCCGTGTGGGTCGCCCTTGGCAGGTCTCAAGATGGCAAAGTCCAAGCAGAATTCAAGGAGGACTCGTCTGAACCCCAGCCCACTTTACTCCATATGGGTCTTCAAAGTGAAGGCCTCTACCTACCGCTTTTGCGCAAATTTGTCCTTATGATTCAGAGATATTTGTGCTTCGCAGTGTTGAATTACAAATTGCGAGCTGTTGGACGGAGCAACTATTTTGAGGCCAGCCACTGGAGACCGTGCAGTGGCCAAGTCGCCAGCACTGCACTGAACGTGACTGAAGAGTCACCTCACACACCAGTTTAGTCCAACAAGTTGCCGCCCCAAGGTGTTGGAGGGTGCAGCAAGACATTGAGGTCTAGCCGGTCTAGCATCTCGGGAGCACAGTTGGGGTGGATGCTCTTTTCCTGGAAAAGGTGGAAACACCAAAAAGGCAAAAGCTGAAACACATCCAGAACAAACATAAAGACTGACCTACTGGCACCTGCAACTGCAGGACCTTTCCAACTTTTTTGGTTTTGCAACTTTGTGTGTGTCCTGTTGTTCAGCCCAAAGGTCTAGGGTAATCTGGACTGCAATTCCTGATTCATGCATGCCGCATGCAAAATATATGGCTATCCGTTCATGTCCACATCCGAACCGATCGAGGCTTGGCTAAAGGCACCGAGCGAATTCATTAGTACCGTGTTCGCCGTGGCATCCACAGCTGCGATCAGCAGAGATCACGGCTGTGGTCTGTACGGAGGTCATGGCGGAGAATCGGAGAATCTTCCATTAATTCTTTTAAAGCATCGGCAAAAGCGTTCCAGACCAAAAATTCAAAAAGTAAGCCCGGCAGTCCAGAAAAAGCCTGCTGCAAGTGGCACTTTAAATTTATCAAGAGCCCTGGCAATCCTTCAATTGCACAAGAATGCCGCTTGGGAATACTTGCTCATTGATGACAATCCCGACAGGTTCATTTTCAGAGAACTGTTGAAAGAACGGTTGCTTTCATGTTAGGAACTGTTAGGGTTTCAATTCCTTTCAGCCCATGCGGCGGTTGCTCCACGCAAGAATGCTGAGAAGTTCATAGAAGTTCCATGGATTTGTGTCCAGAGTTTGAAAGGGGCCACTTGGCCGAGTGGTGCAAGAACTGGAAGCCGAATTGCAAGGTATGACTCGTAATTAGCTATCAACCATTGTCAATCAGCATCAACTACAAAAAAGCAACATGATCCCCACACACACACACACACACACATGTGCAATGTATGTATGTACATGATGTACATGTATGTACAATGCATATGTGCCACCTGGGGTACTTTGCAGAGATATATAAACATACAATCTGAATCATTTAAATCTACCGCATTTTGTCTAAATAATGAGAAAAGAACAAGCATAGGTCAAAGCGTAACAGGTAACAGGTGTATACAAGACATGATGCAGTAAGGAACATGAAGATTCACAAGTGTTGTGGCTTGCAAGGCTCCATTTCTCGTGCCAGCCAGAACTGTTGATAGGCATGGCATTGCAATTACCACTCGCAGAGGCATGAAAAAGCAACAGTGCGACTTGCCAATGTTGCACGATTTCAGAAGATGTTCTGCGGCATTGCTACCGCTCCTTTTTTAGGATAACTTGCATACGGCATACGACTGCACGACTTTGTCAGAGCGAGTGGCCTTGGCTGTTGCAAATGGGGTTGGATTTTGATGATTTGCATCCACCAGCCATATTCAGTTGACAGGTACCTGGGGCGAATGAACGAAGCACTTGGATTGAATAAACTCAAGACTGGACCCACAGGAACGGCTTGACTCTATTTGGCAGTTTATTGGTCTATACAGTGGCTCGTTCGATTCATTCATGCTAATGCTGCTTTGCCGAGTTGTACCATAAAGTCCACTTGGAGAGGCAATCAATAGGTTCAAGATTTGTCAAGCTTCATTCCATTCCGCATCGGCAACATCTCATCAGTATGGCAAACGGGCGGCTTGATTGCACGGCAGTTGGTGGAGCTGTAACCTGTATTGGTGTTTAGTGCTCCAACATGCGTGGGCGTGGGTATTTTTCCTTTCTTCAGTGGCTTAACTTGTTTGAAACCCTTCGATTTCGACCAAGGACACCGGTGGCTGATGTCACTTCCCCAGAACCAACGGTGTCATTTGAGAGCCAAACCACAGCAGTTGAAGCTGAGATGGCAGAGGCAGCTTGACAGAAACGAGGGGAAGCCACAAAGAGGAACTCCAAGACAAATGGTAAACTACAAATGGAGCTGGCGTGACTGGAGTGCTGGGAGGAAAAATGAAAATAGACGCACGCATCATGCTTTGCCATTTGCCTGTTTGAAAGTCTTTTCGAGAGGTTCACTGACGCTTTTCCCGCCGAACCTTTTCTTTGGCCAGGCGCAGAAGATGAAGTCCGGCCAGAACATGGGAGAAAGCAGGCAGATGACATGATGCCAAGATCAAACTGACATGAAGTGAAGACATCAACGACGATCCATTGGAACGCGGGAAAACATACATCAAGAACCAGAGGAGCAAGAAAAAACCGATGCATGACAAACAAGAACATGATATATACAAGACATTACAAGACCAAGAAGAACAACCAAAGCACAAGCAGAAGCACAAAGTCAGAAAGCAAAGAAAAACACGACCCGAGGGTTCCAAGGGCCTCAACGGCCCGTTGGGGACCAAAAAATCTCACACCTCGTGAGATTTCAAGAAGTTATATAAGTAAAGTGCACAGTTACAGACAGAACATAAATCATGGTAAATCCAACTGTGTGCATGGATTGTTTGTTGATTATTATATCATACTTGTTTTTGGGGGGGGCTTAAGGCTTAAGGTTTGACATTCTGCGTGACAACAGAACCCAGCGGACTTCTAGGGAAAGACACGTGCACACTCAACTAGGTCTTCTTGGCAAACCTTAGGAAGATGAGCAACACCCCCAATGTTCAAAGTAGACTTCTTCGGGTCGGAATCATGCCCTTCAGTTTTGGTTCACAGCCATTCTTTGAGAGGCATCCGACCAGCCCATCGAGAAACACACGTTCGGTCAGAGACCCACAGGCTTGACACAATCAGCTTGTGTCAAAGGTCGGGAAACAGCATGAAAATGTTTCCACAATATGGATGGGTGCTGGCAATTCTAAACTGAGGAAATGGAGAGATCAGTGCCGAGCTTAGACTTAGGATATGTATTAGAAGATATTGCGGGCAGTTGGGGCCACCTTTAGACCCCACATCGGGATGAGCTGGGTGTGTATATCAAGTATCAAACCATGGGCACTTTAGGTACCAACCATTCCTTCGCGCTATGCGGTGACCCTGATCAAGGGCAATCGCGAGGAGCGGCATGGGGAAGCAAACCCAACAGTTACAGAGAAACTGATTCATTTAATGAACGGAGCTTGGTTGCACGAACTCAGTGCGAGGCATGCAATGTGTGTGTGTGTAACCTTTGGAGTCACAAGGTTCCTGTTGGACTGTGTTTCTTTGCTGTTTTGAATTTGAAGCAGGGGGTGCCAGGGACCGTGCAAGTCTGGCACTAACAAAGACACTTGCACTGGTCTGTGATATAGCTCCGGGACGCTGGAGCTATGTACCTGCTTTGAGAAGAACCTACATAAGTGCAAAGCTGTCTCATTCTTTGTTGTGCAGTAAGCGTCTAACGCAGCGGCAAGTCACCCCGGCATTTTCGTGAGCTTGAGGGTTTTCACATGTTCACCCTGGTTTCTTAGGTTTATTAGGCTGGCGTGTTGCAACCGCACTCACACCGGTACGCATTTCTATAAGTGTGTCTGGCTTCATGCCAGCCCAGGGTCACCCGCAGAGTGGCCGTTGTGGACCAGTTGAACGGGGGTTTGTCCATGTTCCCCGGCTTTGGGAACGTAGGTGTCCGAAGCAGACAGCAGGAGGCTTATGCCAAAGTCATTTGCCAAGACTTGTTGAACTACTGAACTCCAAGGTGGCTTTATGCCTGTACGTGACCGCAGCGGTCTAAGCAGCCAGCCCCTAGGTTTCAGGTCGCCCACGTCTTTATAATGAGGCGGGTTTTCATTGGTTGTCCCCGTGCACTTGGTTCCCTTTCATCGCAACCACACACACTTTTGTCCCGTATGGTCCCCTTTGCACGTTTTCATTATTTTGTCTTGTTGCGTGCGCACTTACACTTTCGCCCTGGCCCTCCCCTCGGGGAGGCGTGTGTGTAACTCTGTCTACCTCTGACTGCCTACCAGTGTTTTCGTGAGATCCATGTTTTCTCTTAGCTCCACACCTGGCTTCTCACCTTGCTTTCACTAGTCCGGAGCTTAATGCAAAATGATTGCCTCCCCTCGGAGGCCGTGTGTGTGTAACCTTTGGAGTCACAAGGTTCCTGTTGGATTGTTAGACTTGATATTTTTAAGCAGGGGGCAGAGGGATCACCAGTCGTAGCCTCTGCCAACGAAGCTCTACGCTAGATGATCAGGTAAACGTACCTGCTTTGGTGCACCTGGGCGCATAGAAAGACGCAGCTGGTGGCCATCTTTCAATTTCAAATCTGCAGACATGAGCGGACGTCGTCAGCCTGTCGCGTTTTCGGGCTTTTCGATGGATCGAGTTGATGAACCTTTTGGAGGTTTCTTTGAGGCCTCACGGAGGCTACCAGATGCTTTAACTCACCTGGAACCGTAGGTTTTCACTTAGGCTGGCGTGTGGCAAACCGCAACCAAGTCAGCACGCATTTCTACAAGTGTGTGTGTTTCAGTGTTGTTGATGTGATTTGCGATGGCCTCCCGGTTGCCAGTACAAAGGGTTCAACAGCCGCGCTATGCGTTTCGAGGCCAGTCGGAGTTGCGTGTCGAGGTCCAGGTCAATCAATTTTTCCCATCATATTTTTCTTCGTTTGCAAAAGCTTTAGTTGGCGTGTCTATGTGATACAGTATCAGATTTGGAGTTATCGCCATCTTCGGTTTACAGTCACCAGTTGTTCAACAAGTTAGTCGGCTTGTTTTTTCGGGTTGAACCTTTTGGATGGCCCACCCGCAAGTTGTGCAAGAACCAGGATTGCATTTTTTCTGGGCGCGAACTTTAGTATTCGCAGCTCAGAAGGAGGTTGATTTGCTCCTGAAGTCATCCTCAGAAGAAAAGCTGGGAGACAGCCATGCGGCCTGGTGTTTCGACCCTCAACGAAACAAACACGTCCTTGCAAGCAAGTCCTGATGTTTCCTTTGGTACACAGTGCTGGAAGTCAGCCACAGCTAGAGAGCTAGGCCAGCTAGGCTAAGGTTTTCCCTTTATCAAACCGAGGGTTAGTTCATGCAAGACACACTGGCTGGGCCCAGTGATACCAAGGCACCCGAGACGCGGGGTAGTGATACATGTCTCCCACCCTTGGTTCGTTTGCAATAGGTCCAATAGGTACTTTCGTCAGCCTCCAACTAGTTTGTTTATGTTTGTTTGGTGTTTTGCGGTTTGCTTGTTCATTTCAGATCCCAGCTAATCTCCACTTGTATGTTCCCATCATTTGCAGGATTTCCCACACTCTTACTCAGCTTTGTATCCCATGTGCCCATGTGTTACAGCTTCTGTGCAAAGCAATGCTTTATTTACCAGGTAGAGAATTAAATTAGAATTACAGTAAACGAAAAGATGAGGAAAGAACTAAGAAAGTCCTTCTTCTCCTTCTTCTTCTTGCATGGAAAACCTGCAAGAACATCTCACATGTCCTTGTTTGATCTTGTTCCATTTTGTTTCTTCTATTTGCTAGTTGTTCAATTTCGTTCTGAGGTGGAAAGACAAGTCGATGGTCCTGGCCCTGGAAGGCTGGGTCAGTCAGCAGCTGTTCTTGTTTCTTTTTCGAATCACCAACGATCACCGAGTTTGACCACTGAGTTACGGAGAGCGGAAGACTTTCCATCAGGACGGGACTTCATGAGCAAAACTGCAGCTTGTTGGACAACCCTTGCTAGCCCGCATACTACACAAGTCCTCAGAAGCAGCACCTGATCGATTCAGCATGATTCAGCGTATCACTTCCGCTTCACGTTCCGGACGGAGACTCGGAGACACGTGCGCAGGAATTCACAGAAAGACCCGGCTGGGGTGCTCGACTTCCTGGCTAAATTTATGACTAAAAATGATGGATGTCCATGTTTTGATGAATTCCACGACCTTTCTCTATCAAATGGCGTCGTCCAGAAGTCAAGGAGGGATTGAATCCCATCATCCCACTCTCAGATGAGATTCTGTCACCAGAAGATTTTGCAGATTGTTTGGCAATGGCCAGTCCAAGATGCCAGGGGGCACTAGCGGCTTTGCTTCTAAAGCCAGGCGATTTGGCATGAGGCAAGCGCCACAAGGGCCAGGACAAAATGACGTGCTTTGTCTTACACAAGCCGTACAAAGATTGAATCTGCCGGATGGAACAGAGAACATTGAGCCAGGTCCATGCCAAGCATGCCACCACCGGGCCTTGGCTGTCCTGGACCAGGCGAGACCTGTGAATGGTGACTCCAGTTTACGCTGGATGCTGTTGGGATACCTGACCTGCACATACCTGCGCCTGTACGTGTTAATCGTTTGATCGTGGAAGCAATGCCGCAATACGAGGGTACATAGAAGATGCCTTGCCACCTTGCATTGGAGCTTCCATCAAGACAAATTCAGAGAGGACAACACCGAAGCTTCTCGCGCAATGCCAGACTCAAAATTGAGGACTTAACTTTCCTTCCAGACAGATAATTAGGAGAAGTAGGCATGGCAGAAGGCTGTGGCCGTTTGTCAGGTGCCTACAATGCTCTTGGCGCGTTGCACAGCACCAAGGAACGCAAGAACTTCAACAAGGCACATCGACCTACCTTCAAGAATTGTCCAGTCGCCTCCGTTCAGATTGCTTTTGCGGCCTGTGCGCCAGGCTGGAGCTTCGGCCAACTTCAACCCCTCCAAGAATGGGCAGAAGGTCTCATGAGTGCACAGTGGCTCTAGTGGCCCTATTTTCCTTTTAATAGAGGATCCAACAATTTGACTTGATTTGATTTTGGATTCTGTAGCTTGTTTACTTGAAGGTGCCCCCAAGCAGCCGATTGCCTGGGCCTGGGTGGTCCTGGCACGTTCAGTACAGGGGAAACGTCAGATATCAGCAAAACTTGGCGGCAAGGAGTGATGACTAATGTCACACGGATAAAGTTAGAGATGCATTTGCAGAAAACAAATAATGTCTATATTGCATTTGTGTATATAACATATATGCACTTACACCTATGCGCACATAATTGCAGTTGTGCGTGCTACTCTGATGGACCTACGTACCTTTTGGCAGAATGTTAGGCACTTGCTAGCTCCCACATCCAAGTGACAAGCAGGCTTTTAACTTGAGACCCTCAGCAGTACACAACCCATTGCGTCATTGCCTATTGCAATGCAGGAGGTCACAGCAGCATCTCTGTAACCCCTTCTAGCTACCAGTAGTAATGCCCTTGTTAGCGATGCTGCGATGCTCTTGTTACTTGTGTCAGGCAATATGATCCCAGGATGCTGCCTACCGCCAGAGAGGCCCCGGGCCCGTCCGACTCTCATCGAGAGATGTGCCTCAGCGCCGGGGATTCAAGCCGGAACGACTGGGAGGTGCCGAACGACGGTGCTTTTTGTGTCCTTTTCGCATGATCGCACGATGGGGGGAAGAATCGATCGCATGAACCATACTGTATGACAGATGGAATCTCACTGCCTCGATAGGTCGTTTGTGAGATTTGCAACTTGTGTTCCACATTTGGCTATTTATATACATGATTATACATGATGTTTTAAAACATGTTCTTGCAGTTTTTGCAACTTCCTTCTTATCGTTCTGAGCACTGTCCACTTCCCAGTCCTAGCTGTGGGAGGCTGCAGCAGCACAAGCTGCCTTCAATTCAAGCAGCACACGGTTGAAAGGTGAGACTGGGGCCACGTGCTGCTGTCAGGGGGGCTGTCGGATTGGGCAGAAACCACAGCAGATTTGAGGAAGGTGGAAGGAATATGGAATATTCAAACGACAACCTGTTCAGAAAGTCCTGAAGAAAAAACAACCAGGCTGTGGACGTGAGAGGCAACATGAGCAGGTGAATCACATGCTGGGAACCACCGAACGTGTTTTGCCTGGGTAAGCAAGAGTTGATGGATTCTTCTCACCAAATGATGCCTTGCTTGTGAGCACCAGGTGACCTTGAGCCTTCAGGAATTCCAGGGCCTGGAGAATACTACGATGGCATGGCCAGGCGGAGTTTGGGTCAGCCGCTGGAACTAGTTCTGGTGTTGACCAGCGTTTGGTGCAGGCCTGTTGGCTACGTGCCGGAATATCATCAGGGCCTAGACATGCGGATGCCCACTTTCAAGGAGCGACAGCTCTGTGACAGCTGAGTCTCAAAACAGACTGAATGGATCGCAAGGAACATCAAGACCTGTGCCAGACTTGCATTAAACATCATTAAACCAATAATCGTTCGAGAACGGCCCGTTGATGCAAACTACACGAGCCGCGTTGCCTCAGCGCCCGACGAGCCACGGTGAGGAAAGACACCGGCCTCACATCACTAAGATTCACCACGACCTTCCGGCAGCTTCTGCAAAGGCCAGAAGTCTGGCACTCAGATGACGCGAATCCAGGCAAACCAACCAGCACATCCAGGTCAATGTGCTGTAAGAATCCGTCCGAAAAATCAGTCCCGACCTCCACTTGGGACTTACCTGTTTGTTTCTCCTCGCCTGTCCAGCGAAAGACTCCTCGCTTGCACTGCGAGGCATCCTGGGAAGCTTTGGGGATGAGGTTGGGACAACGAACCCGCGGAGTGCGTGATACACACTTTGGCTGTTCGTGCTTGCATCACTTTGCGGCATTTTGCGGCACTTCTTCTCCTTGCTTTAACAGAATTTCCAAACTTCCTCACACATTTCCTCTTTGCTTCACATTTTCTCGAACTTCCTCAACCTTTCTTCTCCACATTGCTTTACTTCTTTCCCTGCCTTATTGAAACAATGTAAACAGTCCAAGCAAGTGGTGGGCCACTAGGTTCATGTTTGAGTTGCTTCTTGATTTCTTGATCATTTGTTATTTGGCATTGTGAGATTGCTCCTCTCGTGGCTTTTCACTCGAGTTTTGCAAGTAATTCGTGCACCGTCACTAGGCCCCTTGGCCTGGAAGGCTTTATTTGGTCATTGCAGAGTGGCAGTTGTTCGAATTTTCTAGTGGCTTTCGTTACATGTGCTTCACTTTTAGCATATAGCCGCCACATGCGGCAACTATTGGGCCGAAACGAGTCAGGAGGGACCACCCCAGCGGCAAGAACCCACCATGTCATGGGCATTTTGATCGTACCACACCATGCCACCAGCATCAAGAGCCCATGACAGAGTTGAAAGCATACCACTTCCACAGCTTGGAAGTGTCTCCAACAACCTCTTTGACAGTTGCACTGCTAAAGGACTGGACAGATCAGCACTTTTTCTCCCTGGAAGGTTGCAACCCCAGGCTTTTGGCGATCCTCCGAACAAGTTTGAAACCAGAATGAGTGACTACTAGACTACTAGTGACAGATACACAGACTCATACTCTACACACGTCCTGTCTGCTCATTTATGCTCCATGCTCCAGTCAGTCTTTGACCCCTTAGCGCACACCAGGGGGAAGCCGCGTGGCAGGTGAGCCGCGAATGCCTTGGGACGCAGGGTTTGCAGGTGGCGCTCCCTGGACCGGGTCACTACGAGCAGGAGCGAGCCGTCGGTCGGCGCGAGCGTTGGACGCCGACTGACGGTGGTCGGTGCGAACGACGAGAGATTCGACCAATGCGTCAGCGCAATGATGCGCAAGAGCTATGCAAGAGCTGTACTGTTTGTTTTTGATGATTTTGAGGTGTGGGAGTGGGAGACTGGGGCCTTCAAGGTTTTGGCAAGAGCACAGTTGTTGATACTGTTGCTTAAAGGGTGCGGAATCAGCGTGGACCAGTAATGACAAGCGAAGACTGCAAAGGGTGCAGAATTTGGACATGTTGTATCACATATATATTGCAATCATGTTTGCAACCAGCTCGTTGAAGATGTGCGCAAAATAGGGGGCAACGTAGCACACCTGTGATCGTCCAAAACGTAGAAAGAAACTGGGTCAGGAGCTAAGCTTGGAGAATTCGGTTTCGTCCGCCCTGAGCCCAAGCGGAGCGCAGTCCGGAGATTGTTTTGCTTCAAGAGGTGGGTTCGAGGACACATATGAATTGCCAAAGCTCCGGGCTTTTGCTCAGTTTTATCATCATGGGAGACATGAGACATGCTTCGCATTGGTTAACTAATGTTACGTAATTAATGATGATATGAATTTGATATACAGTATTGTGATCTGCAAACTCATTGGATTCTTGAAGTTGTGCCACTCGAAAGTGACCATGCAGGTTTGTGCAAGTGCTTTCAAAGATGGACCCAAGCGCACTGACTGGGCACCAGAGGACCCCTGCCAGCGTGTTTCTCAGCATTTTTGAGTTCAAGATGGCACCATATCTTTGTTTCCCAAGTTTTGTGTAATATATATCCTTTCGTTCTCAATCCACCCGTTTTCAGAGCCAAGGTCAAGTTGAGAGAACCTAAAGTTCCAAACATGTAATCCACAACTTGAGTGACTAGCACTGGATTTTCTTGTTGAGGTATTTGCTGTGAATGGTTCGGCTTTGTTGAGATCCATTTTCAACACATCCATCGCAGGAACTGTCGTGCCTCCCTGGCCCCGGAAAGTACGAGCCAAAGGTGCCGGTCATGGGTCAAACATGGTAACACCAGTGGCTTAAAAAAACATGTTAAGAGCATGCAAAAACATGGTAAAACCATGTAAACCATTAATTCAAGAAGCCTGTCACTACAGTCCATGCTTCCACCTTCCAATTTGTCCATTCTTCAGGGACTGCCCATGGGTCGCCTGACCTCTGCGAAGTCTGCCTTCATCTCAGCTTCCGAACGCAACAAACTTCAGGCGCAACGCAGCAGATGGCCAACATGACCCGGTTGCACGGATTCTTGAAAGATCACTTCGATACATGAGTCATCGTAGTCGGTACACGTTCAAGTTAGGCGAGGGTTCTGGTATAGGGCACTAACCTTGAGGCGGACAAGCGGAAGGTTGATCCACTGCAGAATGGACTTAACTGCCCACCGAATCAAGAGCAACCAGAAAGGTCAAACCTAGCTTCTCGCTGAGAGCCGCCGTAGGGTTGCCAGCGCCAGCACTGAATGGCAGACAGTTGCATGACTCCCACCCATTTCCAAGCTCATAACCGTATGTCACGCCAGTTGTCTTCTGTGCCTGGCCCTGCCTACTACAATCCATCGCTGCCCAAGCTTCAGAAGTCCGGCCACCAAGAAACGATGGGATCCTTGGACTAGCGGCAGTCCAAGACTAGGAAGACTTGAGACGGAGGGTAGCTATGTAAAGTCAACCGGAAAAGGTTCCGACAAGTTGGTCCAACGAACAAAACAGAGAGGCCTTCCGTGACCAGTTTTTTCAAGTTTTTCCAATGTGACTTTCGAGGTCCTTCCGCTTGAAGTCGGGTACCTTCGTGCTGTGAACATGCCGTGAATTCGCTGCATGAAGCAGGTACCTTCTACAGCATGTCATGACCGTCAGATCTTCAAATCGAAGGCAGCACTGCACAAAACAACAATGGACACTTGGCGAGGTGGTGATCTTGCACGATGTTGTAATCCTTTCGTAATCTTTGGTCCGGTTTCACCGCTCCCCACGCAAAATGCGTGATGAAAGGGTGCATGTAGAGAGCAGGAAATCTATGGCCGCGCTCGTTGGATTGTGGTTTGAACATTCTCTGACTCTGATGCTTTTGGGCACCCTTATTTCTACTCGCAGCAGGAACGCTAATTAGCAAGTGGTTGTGTATTGTCTCTTGCATTCGTGCTTGAATGATTCTTCATGCCAAGTGTGCCTCTTGTATACATACTCATCCCCCAAACAGTTCACTGCTGGCTGGCGCTCTCTCTCTCTCTCCCTCCCTCCCTCCCTTAGGAAACAAGATGAAACAAGATGCCGGCCACAGTCTTAGGCCATGCCCTTGAACCCTGTGTCCGGGTGTTGTCCTCCTGCTGTCCTTCTGGCCATGCTTCACCTCTACTTCCAAATGAATGCCTTTGACTGCACCATTCGTCATCCCATGAATCGCCCCATCCGTCCCGAGAAGTATTCCAGTCAGCCCATGCTGATTCAGAATCCACATCAAAGCTCGAAGTCCTCCTAGAGTCAGCCGTTGGGGAGGGTGCTGCGAGTGTGGGATGCGGGGTTGTGATATCTACCAGCTGCTGTGGGGCAGAAGCTTACACTTTTGCATCTTTTGCTGGCGGCGGTGTTGGCTCAGCTTTTGGCAGAGTTGCTTCGCTGACAGTGGAAGAGCACTGCTCGTTTTCGGAGGTGGATTTGTTTTGGGCATTTTTGGGCACAGCTTTTGACGGAGCAGCTGCACTGACTCAGAGCATCATCCAGGCTGTACACAGGAACGTGACTCGAGATGAGAGCTCCTGGCAGTATATAGCTTCAAACCCTCGCAGGGCTCGGCAAACAGTGGTCCAGCCGCTCGTTGCAGCGCAGAAGGCACGCGTAACGTCCGCGAAGTTGACTGCGACCTAAAGGAACCACAGCCGCTCCTGACTGAGAAGTCGGCGCAGAACGGTCCGTCGTTCAGCTGTGTCGTATCGCCACGCTCTCGTACGCATCGGATTTGGGCCTTCCAAGAGTGGAGGCCGAAGGCGGTGGTTTTGGCCCGACCATCCTCGAACTGAGACTCCTGTCCCACGTCATCGGCGAGCTTCGCCGATGACGTGGACGGGGTTGGTGTCGTCCGCACGGCGCCCCATTCAGTCGTCAGACTCACCAGCTCATACTTTTGAAGGGGACCTCGTTGTTGCGCTTCACCACATAGCTCCAGGAACCTGATTCATCCAGGGCCAAAGCTGGTAGTTGAAGAAGGATGAAGAAGGTCCGACTCCGCAGTTGATGCTGTTGATCTTCATTTTCTTCAGGGGAATGTTGCAAACGGGACAGTGGATTGAACTCCTCATAACTCCTCGCCCTACTTGGCCTGATGGCTCCTCTCGAGCTCCGAGCTCGGTGGTGTGGGTGCTTGCTCTTCTGAACACGCGCCCACTGTCCTGGGCTCCTGCAGTCAGCCTGATCGATGGATGAAGGGTTGTTGTGGGCATCAAGCCATGCAAAGCCAGGTTAGACAGAAGATCCCCAGGGATCCGGGTCCTGGCAGTTCTCCCACAAGCTGTGCTGTGCTGGAGCTGCCCCGACAAAGCCACATGTTCTTGACGTCGGGGCTGAGATGAACTTGTCCAGCTGCTCCCGGGTAGTTCAGCATCGCGATTCTTCAGCCATGCCGCTCTCGGCCAAACCACTGCGCAGGAGCACGTGTTGAACTCCACTGAGCTCCAGACCTCGCTCAAAGTTGCCACGGAACTCATCCCCAGCGTCGCACAAAGAGATCAAAGAGATTCAAAGAGTCACAAGAGCATCTGGGGTGCCCGGAAATACCTCAGCCAGTACCTCAGCCATTTGGAGGTCGAGCTCAGATGGCCGCCTCGAGTTCCTCCTTCTGGAGCTGATAGCTCGTGCCCGCATCCACCATGTTGAGGATGGGATTTGGGCGTCTTTGAGCTTCACAACAGGTAGTCTGGTAGTCCATGCGCCACGCACAGCACCTTGTGGAAGGTGGCAACTGAGCTCGCCTCCTGTTGTTTGGGCCCTGCTGAGCTCAGTGGAGTCCTCGCACTTGAACTCGTCCCGGATGTAGCGCAACACCTGAGGCAAAGCTCCAGTTGCCTTGACAGCTCTCGGCATTCGACTCTTCGGTCTGGATGTCCAGTGTTCACGTGGTCCTTCTGGACGAGGCTCTGCAGAACTTGTTCCCCCTTTGACCACCTTAACAGGCGAAAAGCTCATTGGTCGAAGGTAATGAGAATGAGGGCTACGTCTTGGCGGTGAAGTAGTCTGGCTCCATGGTCCATGAGGCAGCTCCTTCGGGATGTTCAATGCCGAAGTAGTTCTCGTCTTGGAACTGCACTTCGGTCGCCGATGCTTCATGCAGTGTAGCGTAGATGATTGTTCGGATTTCTATGGATTTCTTCTTGATTCTCAGCACACCGGAGTCAATGCCCCCTGCACCCAGACTTGGTGGTTTTACAGCGTTGCAAGAATAGGAGCCATTGGCCGGTAATGAGACACCGGGTCTCCGTTATGAGCACCGCGCCGGAACCCTACATGTCCCGCATGTTTTGCCCTTGAACTAGACATTTGCTAGTGCTTTGCCCAGCCAATGCCAACCAACTGATTGTTTTGACATGTTTTGACTGATGTTACATCGAAGATCTGAGCAGCATTCTTTTTGTTCAGACAGCAGCAGCGTAGGATAGCATAGGACATTTTTTTTGGGGTCTGGCTTGGGGCAAGCCAAGTCACACGGACACTCTATATAAGTGGTTTCCGTTTGTTAAGTAGCGTGCAGCGTGCATGATAAGAGCCAGCCAGCTCAATCAAACAGAGGCATTACACGAGGCTAGCAACTAGCAATGAAAGTGAAGCCTTCAAAAGAACAGAAGCTGCACTGACAAGAACGGCTCCGTCAACTACGCAAATTGTGCGGAGGCACGTTCTCAATGCTTTCTGGATCGCCTTGCGGGAGTGTCATGACAAGTGTCCTAAAGCACTTCGTGATCTTCATGATGCGAACATATGCAAAAGCTGACCATGTAAGTTGGAAAAGGCTGCAGTGCAGCTAAAAAGTCAGGTAATGGGAGAGCCTGGCTCTTGGAAAATGCGATTGGCTACGAACGGGCTGGTGAAGCAACTCAAGCGTGTACGGTATGTATATATATATATATGCATGCAATTATATGCAGATACAGTATATTTTGTGGTCGATGTGAGTTTGATCGAGGTCAATCCAACCTGGCAAGGTGGGAACGCAAGCCAACTCAAGTGCAGCATTTAATGTTGTTCAAATTGGTGTTGAACAGAAACTATGGCTTTCAAGTGTCTCAAAAATTCTCAAACCCCCTTTCAAAGCAACATCTCTTTAGATTTGGGGATCACCTTTCGCACCTGACCATGCTGCAGATCGCCATGCGTAGTATCGACGATCTCAGCTTTGAAGTCATCATCCTGAGAGTTGGCGTGGCACTTTGGAGCGCTGCATGTCTTTCAGTGGTCGATCACAAAACACCGGAAAAGGGCAAAGGAAAAAGCAGAGCAACCTCTGGAAATAACGAATGACCGATGTCGTATGTGGAAACAGGATAGAATATGGGAGGATGAATCGCCTTTTGCCCTCCTCTTTGGTTGAACTTCTGCACTTGCCTCCCTCCTCTTCCCGGAAAAGTTTGAATGAGCATGAACGAGCGACTTGCATTGCCTTAGCAGCTAAGAGGCTTTTGCAGCAGGCTGCAAAACCACAATGAGGCCACAGCATTGATGTGGTCTATGTGGATGATGGCAATGTTGAAAAGTCCGTTCCTTTGGAGGAGGTGGATACTCGGCCAGGTAGATGGAGTTGACCCGTCCGCAGCGAAACAATCGGACATGTGCCACTAGTCAGTTGTTCGGTTGTTTCATGTCCTTTCTTGAGCTGCCGAGTTAAACAAATCGGATCAAATTGGGATTTTGGCGCCGATTCTACCAACACCTGGGTCTTCACCATAGACCAAACGCAGTTGGCCGTCGCCGGCATGGGCCATTCGCCGGCTTATTCGCATGCAAGGACTGGCGCACTTCAGCCCACAGGACAATGGAAATGACAAGATGTGTCATGACATATTCATGCAGAGTCCAAGGTGAAGCCAACTGCAAAGCATATGCAGCTTGTCAGTGTCTACTTGGCTCAGGATGCTGTCTCCCGAGCAACAGCAGATCCTTGAGGTCGGTTTCCATATCGATGTTTTACTCAGCTCCTTGATTTCACCGCCAGGCAGGCTTAGCGAAGTTGGTATGGCCCCCAAGCTCATCCTTGTCCAAAGAACTGATGATACGGATGTCGTTTTCGTGTTCTGTCGCCAAGGGTGAAGAGCTCGACTACGAGCCAACCACCAGCAACATGCGCTGGGAGCAAGGATTGGAAACCAGAACGATGCAGCGGTGCCACAGTCTCACCTTATAGATTCAACAGGAACCGAGAAGGAAACTTGCAGGCATTGTAAATTCGTTCAACTTGGCTAGTTCAGACACGGGCGATGTACTGCATCACACGGACCCAAATACAACCTGCCCAATCAAAACCTGCCCTTTGGGCGCATAGTTAGAGCTTCCACAGGCAGGCACAAAGAAGAGGATGGAGCGGTTATCCTCTCCAATTGCATTTCTGTCCTGACGCCGAAGGCAAGACTGCATGCTTCCCCACCAAATGTAATTAACAATTTAAGATTATGACTGGCTTGATCAGCATTTCCGTATTGGTGTCAGTGGTCTTTTCTGGCAAACTCTTTATTAGCTCATCATGCGGTACTATTGTCCAAGAAAATCTCAGGTGTCAACGCTGTGTGCACAAGCTTGGTTTCTGCGTGATTCCTTATCCTTCGCCTTGGGAAACCAGGCAGTGAAGGACGATGCCGTGCAGGCCTACGGCAACG